TCTAAATAATAATCCCTGGCTTCTGCCCGGTCACCTTGTTCTCCAAGTAGGCCCTTTCTATCCTGGTCCCCCCCCAAACTCCAAAATGCTACCACTCACCTCCAAATCATCCAATCCCAGTGCCTACCATCCTGACAAATATTCCTATACCCAACCCATGCCCATACACCTTACAACCATCGCAAGACTTTTGTCTTGCTATGGTCGTAAGCTAATTAAAAGCTTGTACGATCTGCCCATCTTGGACAGGCATATCGTACTTGCGATCATCGAAAGCCCGCCCCGCTGACAGGCGGGCTTTTCCGATGACCGCAATGCTAAACGGGCAGTGTGCGCGTGCGCACACCGGACCGTTCCGCAGTTGTCGAACGAGCAGGCTAGAAACCCGCCCACAATCGTACGATTCTCGGCGGGTTTTCTAGCATGCTGGTTCGACAAAAGACGTGCGACCGTACAGTAAAAACGGTTGCACGCCTTCCATACACCTTGCAATTATCGTACGATCGCGGGATTTCCCGCGATTATCGTACGATAATCGCAAGGTGTATGGGCACCTTTTAGTTCTATTATAATGTGTTCTATCTAAAATGCCTCTAGAGGGAGTACCGTATTTGACGGAGTATAAGACGGGTTTTGAGACCTTAAAACATTATGAATAGAAAGCCTGCCGTGATTGACTCAGCGGAAGACGGAGGACACAGCGGGGATCGTGGACAAGGTAAGAGACTGTAATCCCGAGTGTGGTACTGAAAATTAACCCCGAGCCACACTCGGGAATACTGCCATGGATGTTAGTGGGTGCATTTAAACATTATTTTGGGCTATACTCAACTTATACGACGAGTATAGCCCAAAACCTATATTTTAACACAAAAAGTAGGGGGCCGTCTTATACGCCGAGTCGTCTTGTACGCCGGCAAATACGGTAGCGTAGTTAGCATAGATCAGCTCCTGTTCATCTAGATGTTCAATAAATATGAACATTCATTTATTACAGGCTGATTTTCATAAGGAATCCTGTTCTCACTTGCACGTGGCCACTGAACATACACAGTCAGGTGACATTTCTTAATTATTTTCATTCTCTGAATCTAAATTGGTGTTTGCAGAAAACAAAAAACACTGTAACAATAGCTACTTAATGTAATTTTGTTATGACAGAAATTTGGGGGCAGCCATTGCAGACATCCTAAAATGTTTTAAATCACCGACCCAGAATAAGCATGTAGCAAGTAAAGTCACAGTGATGTCACAATTCCTGATATATAATTTTTTTGCAGTTCGGTGACTCAGAACATAATAAAGCCGGAGGATCAGCATTACAGCCAGGGTGCTAGGTTTTCAGAAGGAAGTCAGCAATGCAGCATACATGGTTTTCTGTAGCAGGAATTACAGGGATGATTGGTTACATACAGGGACGATCATCTGTCTCTAACCTCAGGTAACCGCTCCATGTGAAATTACGTTTGAACATGGGTAGACAGCTGCGGCTGCTGCCACTTTGTCTTTGCTTTGTACAGGCTGAAAGGTATCAGCCATTGGGATCCACTTGTGACATCTGCCACAAGAATATGCAGGTACACATGCATTGCTGAGTGTTGACTAGGTGTGTTACTGCGATGTGCAGCAATGTGAATGTGCATTTCCGCAATTAATTGGCCCTCAGTGATCATTCTAAAGGTGCCCATACACCTTACGATTATCGTACGATAACCGTATGCGATCGACTTTTCGTACGACAATCGTAACGTGTGAATGTAGTGCCCGACCGATAGCACTGTACAATCATACGACTTTTGACGGTCAAGCATGTTTGAAAACTTTGGTCGATCGTACGATGTTTGCATAGTTGGTGGCGTTTCAGTCCGTCAAAAGTCGTACGATTAACACTGCGCATACGAAAATGAATACGATCAATTACCGCAAGTCGTCCAGGTGTTTTTTTTTAACTACCCCTGATTGAACCTTGCGATAGTCGGGGCAGGATGGGGCCGTCGTACGAAAATTGTATGACGGTTTGATCATCGGACGAAAAGTTTTGTCCGATAATCGTAAGGTGTATGGGCACCTTTAGGGTTACCTCTTATGTTACAATCTGACCGTACCAACATTGTACAATCAACTTTACATTTACCAAAACTATGTAATATGAGGACCAACCTAATCTATCCAATCAATCTGTATCCAATCAGACAGGTCCTTCTACTACATAGCTGTTGGTAGATCTAAAGGAGATTGTACAATCAGACTGTAATGTGTATGGTGAGTCTCAAACTTTAATTGGTCATGGTTCATGTGATCGAGGGGTGAGGCAATGGTATGTCCTTTGCCAAAATATCTTTGAAGATTGGGAGGTAAGAGATCATCAGCTGTCTATTGTAGCTTATAGCAGCCTTTCTCAACCAGGGTGGCACCCTGGGGTGTTTTCTGGCTTTGTCAGGTGGGTCTTTATATTTTTGCTAAAGGGGGGACTCAGCTGAAGAGGGGCTCAAGATGTGAAGGGGGTTTCTGGTGTAATGGAGGGCTTTTGATGTGAAAGGAGGGACTCTGATGCAAAGAGGGGCTTATGATTTGAAGAGGGCTTCTGGTGTGAAAGGGGGATGATGTGAGAGAGATGATGTGAAGAGGGGGTGACTGAAGTGAAGAGGGGCTCCTGGTGTGAAAGGGGGGAGTCTGATGTGAACAGGGACACCTGATGTGAAGGGGGGTTTCTGGTGTAATGGGGGAGGGGCTTCTGATGTAAAAGGAGGGACTCTGATGAGAAGAGGGGCTCATGATGCACAGCGGGGCTAATGGTGTGGAAAGAGTGGGGGAGTCTGATGTAAAGAGGGGACAAGGGGGTGACTCTAAAGTGACAAGGGGCTAGTGATATGAAGGGATGGGGTGTGAGAATTAGGGTCCCCCTGGTAAAATCCATATCGGACTCCTAGGATAACAGTTTGATACGGATTTGGGGGGGCATGCATGTTTTTTACATTTTAGACTGGGGTGCCCTGGGAGTCATACTTTTAAAGAGTGCCATGACTGAAAAAAAATGCTGCCTTATAGTCATGGGCAATGCCTGGCAGTGTGGATCTATGTCCTGGCATGTCCCTTCTTTCTGCAAACCTTTTAACTTCAACACTCACCACTAGATGGCAACATAACGCTGCCACAAACCTATACCAGCTTTTTTTTATTGTGACTGTCAACGCACATGTTAGGAATAGGAAGTCCAGACAATAGGGGGGGGAAATATATATATATATATACATATGCTCTATTATATTGAAAAAATATTTGAAAACACTACTTTTAGGATGTAAAACAAAGCAATGAATATTTTCAAACATCCTCAATCTGCCTTTTTCTTTATAGATTTGTCTATATGTTCGCAATAACCTGCCCAGAGAAGAGCCTATCTATATTATGTAGAAATATTGGAAGGAGCTTACTAAGCTCCTGAAAATGAAATGACTTATATCCTTTACACCAATTCAGCAGGGGATAATTGCCTAGGCAGGAGATCGCTCCCAGTGGGCTATAATTTGAGAATCAATAGGGGGGTCATTTAAAGCTACGGTACTAAATAGTGTTCATCAGGAAAATGTGCATTTAAAGGAGCTGCTCATGGTACAAATCTTGTCTGCTCTCAGGCTTCTGCCTATACAAGGCAAACATTCTGCAGAGGATTATGGGCTGTATGTCTACAATGAAAGCCACAATGTATGGCTGCAGATATGAATGCTGCACGGCAAGACTGCAACCTATATCAGACAGTCACATTTACCTTCCATCAGTCTAGATCAGCCAGAAAAATGAGATTATTTCTGATTAATCCAGTTTGTACATTTAGCGTTCATGTGCACGGACATAACTAAATTACTGATCATCTACAAAGGATAATGCTGGCAGATCCTGTAATGGTGCGTAAAGTGCGTATAGATGTGTAACTGTACGCATGCGTAAAACGTCTGTAAAGTTCTCTTTCCATTCTGAGAACTCAACCCCAATAATTTAATGTGTGCATGAATGCATATCCTCATGTTTTGCACGCATTTACATGCGTCAACTCTTAAATTACTGATTTTTTTATTTTGCTTTTACTGATCTTTATGCATTATTATGATACAGGATTTATAGAGCGCCAACAGTTTGTGCAGCGCTTTACGATACAAGGAAGACATTACAGGTACAATACAATTCAGGACAAGATGGTAAGGAGGGCCCTGCCCCTGAGGGCTTACAATGAAAAAAGGTAACAGGATTTTACAAGTGACAGGTTTGCCAAAGCAAATATTTAATAATAATATAAGGAAACAGAAGTGACACAGAGCTGTATAGTACAAGTGTGGAGTGTACAGGATGCATGGCATTGTGTGTGCTGTGTATGCATTGTACAGTGTAAAGGGTGCATGGCATTGTGTGTGCTGTGTATACATGGTGCAGTGTACAGGATGCAGTGTACAGGATGCATGGCATTGTGTGTGCTGTGTATACATAGTGAAGTGTAAAGGATGCATGGCATTGTGTGTGAGTGTGTACATAGAGCAGTGTACAGGATGCATGGCATTATGTGTGAGTGTATACATAGAGCAGTGTACAGGATGCATGGGATTGTGTGTGCTGTGTATACATAGTGCAGTGTACAGGATGCATGGCATTGTGTGTGCTGTGTATACATGGTGCAGTGTAAAGGATGCATGGCATTGTGTGTGCTGTGTATACATGGTGCAGTGTAAAGGATGCATGGCATTGTGTGTGAGTGTATACATAGAACAGTGTGTGTGCTGAGTCTACATGGAGTGTCAGCTCCTCCTCCTCCAGCACTCGTCTCCAGCCCTCAGCGCTCCTCCTTGTGCCATAACACTCGGTGTGAATGAAGTCTGGCTCAGAGAGGCTCGGGCTCTCACTCTCATAGTACTCCTCTTGTGTGTCCTTGCCCCTCCTCCTGGATCAGCCGTCCATGTGTCCTGTACGAGGAGATCCCCGATCACACTGAGCGAGGAACCGGCGAACAAGGACGGCGAACCCCGCACACTGACATGATACCCTGTGACCTGGAGGTGAGTGCAGCCTGTCTGATCAGCCCGGTGTGCTAAGCGGAGATGGAAGCTGCAGGATGGGAACTTGGAAGGGGTTAGCTCAGCTCTCACACCGGATCCTCTGCTATTAGCTGTACATAGATAACATCGGGGTAGTTTGGACTTGTATGAGAAAAGGGAAGTTTAGGAAGGACAGCGTGGGGTATCAGAAGTCATCAGCATGGAATGCAGTATACTCGCATCAGTTACTGAGATGTGATGGCCATGTGATAAGGATGGCAGTGGTAGGTTCATTCATGTAGCCTTGCCATGTGATAAGGAAGGCAGTGGCATTGATGGCAATGGTAGGTACCCTTATGTCTTGTGGCATAGATGGTAGTGGTAGGTATCCTTATATCTAATGGCAGTGGTAGGTACCTTTTTATGTCTTGTGGCATTGCCATGTGATAATGATGGCAGTGGTAGGTACCCTAATGTCCTGTGGCATTGATGGCAGTGGTAGGTACCCTAATGTCCTGTGGCATTGCTTTCTGATAAGGATGGAAGTGATAGGTTCCCTAACATAGAATTGCCATGTGATAAGGATGGCAGTGGTAGGTAACCTGGTGTCTTGCAGAATTGATGGCAGTGGCGGGTACCCTAATGTTCTGTGGCATTGCCATGTGATTAGGATGGAAGTGATAGGTTCCCTAATATAGCATTGCCATGTGATAAGGATGGCCGTGGTAGGTAACCTGATGTCTTGTGGCATTGATGGCAGTGGTAGGTACCCTAATGTTCTGTGGCATTGCCATGTGATAAGAATGGAAGTGGTAGGCTCCCTAATATAGAATTGCCATGTGATAAGGATGGCAGTGGTAGGTGCCCTAATGTTCTGTGGCATTGCCGTGTGATAAGGATGGCAGTGGTAGGTGCCCTAATGTTCTGTGGCATTGCCGTGTGATAAGGATGGCAGTGGTAGGTGCCCTAATGTTCTGTGGCATTGCCATGTGATAAGGATGGCAGTGGTAGGCTCCCTAATATAGCATTGCCATGTGATAAGGATGGCAGTGGTAGGCTCCCTAATATAGCATTGCCATGTGATAAGGATGGCAGTGGTGGGTAACCTAATGTCTTGTGGCATTGATGGCAGTGGTAGGTTCCCTAATATCTTGTGTCATTGCCTTCTGATAAGGATCCTTACTGATCAATCCCTACACTTACAAGATATGACAATTGCTGGGTGCACACCAGAATTGCATGCACTGATGCCAGCTGCATTTAGGATTTCATCCAATAGACTTGAATGGCAAAATGCAGGTTTGTGCACCCACAACACTATAGTGTTGTTAACCATTCCTATTAAAACAATGTAGTTTGTTTTGCAAGTGAATGTGTAGGACAATGCCTGGTGGTAAGGCTGGTGTGAGCACTGGGTGACTGTCCCTGCACTGTAAACCCTAAAAGAAGGCTGAGTTTGTAATTGTTATGGTAACAGCGATGCGATTTAGGATTTGCCCATTGCTGTGTGTTTCCAGCATTGGGAGGAGCGACATTTGAATGGGAAGCGCTGTGTGTTCAGCCTGAGTGCTTATTATTGTTCCCATGCTCAGCTTTTCAGTACTGTGCGCCTCTCTGTGCTCCTAGAGAGCATAGTCACTGTGCCCAATGCTGCCATCCTGGAGGTATCAGCCAGCTCTCGAGTGCCAGCCTTTGTTTCCTACTTCTCAATGAAAAATCTACCTAAACGGTTCTTCAAAGCACCTTTATTTCCTAGTGACCATATTAATAAATGCTATTTTGCAGCAATATATTGATTTAGTACATAAGACGAATGGCAGTGTGCACTACTCATGATTAGTATATAGTCAGGACAGGGAAAGATGATTACTGATTGATTGTTGGGGTTACTTGGATTACTGTCCTTTATCAAATTGATCTTTTCCTCATTCAATAAATGTGTGCCATTCTGAGATACACAGAACCAAGATATAAGTAATAATTGATAAATGTGCGCACGTTGTCAGCTCTTGTGAACAGAGTCAGCCTACTTTTCATTTTAGGACCTGTACTGACTGAGGTTTGTGTGTATACTTTGCAAGGATGTGACTTTATTCATTCAGCAAATAATTATATTTATGATATTCAATAACAGTTACTGTAAGGAAGTGGTTTGTCAATATTTTAGTGAGATTCCTTTCATCTCATTGGAATGCGTAGCATTGTGCGGACCCGAGTGTGCTGGAGCTCATTGTTAAGTCATTTCATAGACACGGGTTTGGATACACCTAATGCGTCTTACACGTGCTGCATATTCAGCTGTCATGTTATGTTAGGCTAAAAGCGTGTTCCCACCATGGGCTTAGGCTCGGAGGAGTGGCTCGTACACAAGTGCATAGACTATGCTGGCTATGGGATGCAATCCTCATGCCTTTGTCTGGACAATGCGCAATATATGCCAGGGGTTGGTGAGCTGGACTACTGTACTGGCATGCTATTGAGCTATGCACATTATGGGTTGTGACTTATAATAGACTTGGGTGAAAACATAAGTTCCTGCTACATCAGTGAGAGTTATCAAACTGGAAGCGTGTGGTCACTTATTTCTCCCTGGTTTGATATAGAAATAGCATGGTGCCGTCTTATCTTGGTCCACACGTCTTGGCTACAGTGCAAGCTTAAGAAGTTAGGTGCTCTGGCTAGGCATTTGCTTCCTAATTACCAATAATACTTTAATTGCCAGCTTTATATATGACTGAGTGTCTAATGTGTATAGTCAGTGTTTATAGAATTCCCATATGCCTCTCTTTAACTTTTTGTTCATTAAATGTATCCATAAGGGTGCTGCAGCATGAACACTTTTTGTTGCCCATAGCAGCCACTTCCAACTTCTATTTTTAAACAATGGGTTTGAAAATGAACCAATCATTTTGATTAGTTGCTACGGGTTACAAAGAAAACACAGTTTTCATGCTGCCACCCAATCCAGCTGATTATGGTCAGAAGGTGAATACTGTATATGAATGTCCATTGGCACTCTACAATTACCCCTGGCCATCTGTTGCTTCTCTGCAACTTCTGTAGTCACCCTTGGGCCAGCCAGTCCAGCTGATCTCTTGTGTTGGATTTCCTCAGCTGATCACTATTGCTCTCCCAAGCTAAAGTTAGAGCTTGTTGTCCATTGAGCTGTGTTTTTTTGCCCAAGTATGGTGTAAATAGGGCACAGTTGGTTTCTGTGTGCCCTGTTCACACCATATGTGTGTGATGGTGTGCACAAAAATGTAGCACCATGGACATGAGGCTCAATTCACAAAGCCAACACACCAGGATAAAGATACTTTAAAAAAAAAGACAGTTATTTTAATTTTAATCCAATGAGATTTAAAAATGACAGTCACAAGACTAAAATAAAGATACTTATTCTTGTGTTAAAGCTTGGTGATCCGAGCCATGGTGTGAACAAGCCCGTAGTGCTTGTCTTGAAAATGTCCATGTAAATGTTAGTGCAATTAGAAAAGTAGCATGGACAGTACTCAACTGTGCAGCTATACAGGCACGCTTGGTCAATCTGCAATTGCTGGTTTATACCATGATTGTCATTTTTGTGTGTTGTTTTCAGACATCCTTGCCATATTTATGTGCAGAGTTGCAGCATTGTAAAGAGGTTACTTGTTCTGTGTCTGTACATTCTGTATCTGTATCAAGTTCCCCTACCTATCAAAGGAAGTTTTCTCATCTCCATTAAGGAAATGGGTTGTGAGATCATTTTCCTCCTTAAAGACTTTAATATGATGCGGGCTGCTGATTTTTGTTTCTTCCTCAAGTTTGATATGTTCTCTTTGAAGGTCGCTGACAACCTTTCAAAAGATGCCTTGAAGTCAGATACTCATGCACATTCCTCCTCCGCTACTTTGGTTATAAATCTTGACTCAGTCAGATACATTCCTCTATGTTACTGGGAAGGTGAAATGTTCTTTTTTTTGTGTTGGAATGAGATCACCTATATATACAGACCTTTGCTAGCCTGTACACTGACTTCAGGAGAACATATGCTGACAGCCTGGAGGAAAGCTGCGCTGAAGTAGCAGGCAGAGATTTGCTTTGTAGATGTAAAGTGCTGTGGAAAAATTGTGTTGTGTGGAATCTGTAAAAATGACCGGCATTGCATTCGTTCCTTCGAGATAAGACGTTGATGAATTCCCTTTATGTTCTTTCCAAAGATCTTGAGAACGCTGTCTGCTTCAGACAGCTGTGTGTGGTGTCAGTTATAAAGGCGGAATGACATTTGATTAGTTAAACACACATTTGCAATTTGAAGGAACCTCCAGCACTTCCTGTTTGTATAGCTTACCATGTGTCATTAAATCCTATGTGGCTGTGATTGGCATCCCAGGGCTCTCTGTTGGAAACTTACAAGTGCCAGAATGCCCTACTGGTTATGTATTTCAAGTATGTTTGAAGTGTTTGAAGTGTACAGATGGTTGAAATTGGTTTTATAGTAGCAGACTGGCCATCTTCAGGTGTAATACAGACTATAACATGTCATTTTATTGTGGAAAAAGATTTTGAGGGTAGTTATTATTATTATTATTATACAGGTTTTATATAGCGCCAACAGCAGACATTACAATAACAATACAATTCAAGACAAGATGGTGAGGTGGGTCCTGCCCCTGAGGGCTTACAATCTAAAAGGGAGGGGGAAGTGATACATGAGGAGGGAAAGTTGACAACTGTGTGCTGCTGCTATGTTTTGCCAACAACAACAACAAAAAATGTTGCTCCTGGTCCTTAGTTGATATTATTGTTCAGTAAATGTGATTTTAACAGGATTACATAGAGGCTGGCATGATATATTGATACTGGTGTACTCAGGGCCATCCCTATAATGAGGTAGCCTGAGGTGGTTGCCTTAGGCATCTCATTAGGGGGAGGGGCGGCAGAAAAGCGGCCACAGCGTTCTAGGTTGCAAAGAGATCTTAGCTTTTAGCAACTTGTGTCTGGCTTTGCGCCCAGCGCACTGATGTCACCGTTTGCCAAGACCTGAGTGGGGCATTCTGGCTTGCACCCCACTAAGCTTCTGGCAACCAATGGGATTGGTGATCCTTCTCCATTTCTTGAGTTGGATCCCGCCCTGCTCACTGATGCCACTGGTTGCCAGGAGCTTGGTGTATCTTGTCTTATGCATTTCTTCCAGGTCTGTGCAGTAATCTGGTGTGATACTTAGCCTCTGTACACGAGCTTCCTGTAATAAAGACCAGTCATTGCTGCTCTCTCTCCTTGTGCAGAGTGACTGGTCTTGTCTCCGCCCCCTCCTGTAGTTTTCTGCACGTAGCCTGTAGTAGGAAGTGCCTGCTTTTTTTTTTTTCATGCAAAATCTGTTTGCATGACGACTGACCGACTGTACCGAATTGCAGGTTTTCCTTTTGTTAATAGAACAACCTGGGCATTTTATCAGCACAGTGTCACTTTCTATGTCAAGACATACCTGTAATAGAAGTGGCTGTATAATTAAATATAATAATAATAAATAAATATAATTAATGAAGTATGAGCCAGTGGGAGAAACCACTGCATGTGATGGGGGAAACAGGAATTTGACTCCCCTAGCTAGTTGACTCCTTGCATTGCTTGCCAAAATGGCTCCAAGTTTTCTTATGTTCCCATGAGCCTAGATTATGTAGATCACATGGGTTGGGTTACCAGGAACATTGTAGGTGTTTCCCGTCACTAAGACTGCAGAGTCTCCAGTTTCCAGTCACACAGATGCTCTCTGGCAGACAAGAATATCATGCATGTGTCTGATCAGATCATTCTTGGATACAGTGGACTACTTTGAGGATAGGTTGACTTGAGAATCCCTGTTGATGTGTGAATAACATACCATACCAATACCATCTCATTAAACTGATCCGCCATTTGTAAAATTGGTAACCCACTGATCTAGTAGATATCTATATTTTTCACATCAAAGTGTAATATTCATTGCTTTCTGTAATGTGAATGCCTTTGTTTTGGTTTTATGGATTTTTTTTTTTAAACATATTGTCCTAATTAGAAAATGTGGTCTGATTTCCCTCTATGGGCTGTATTTAAAATAGCTCCTTCTGGCATGTAGACTGTTACATGAGCACTTTGAGGTACAGACAGTAAGATGTTTAGCCGTTGTAAATCACTCGGCTGACCTTTCTAATGACAGATTAGAAAAGAGTCTTCTGAAGGAAGTGTCCAAACCTTTCTTTCTTTGAGTGCGGTGGTTTACAATGACATGAGTTGTATAAATTAATGAAGTAGGGATGTGTACTTTGGGATAGTAAACGTTGGAGCTACACGTGTTTGCTGCCAAGCGTTCCGACTCTATGCCGCTATTTGCCTGGCTGAGTTAGATACTTGTAAAAAACTTTGGTGTTCCATCCTTGCAACCTACAGCTTTCATAGTGTAGAGCTGAGATCAGTAATCCACCTTTCAGCACATGCAGGTGTACAGCGTACATACACTCTTTTATCACATGAATAAAATATGTTTTCATGTTATGAGCATGATGTTTGCATGTTGACATGTGTAGAATGGCTCATAGGACTGTCATAGATGGAGGTTTTAGGGGTAAGAAACATTCTGTTCTGCTGATTTATGGTCTACCATGGATCTCTGTGAGGTGGCGGAACTGGTTCTGCTAGACTGTCAAGGTAGTGGGAGATATTTTGAAGAAAGTCACACATATATATTGTAGAACTATCACAGCGAAAGTACAAAGCATTGAAACAATAACAAAGTACTAAAAATAGATCAGTATAGTGTTCCGTACACTAACAGCTTTTTTTTACATTTCAGACCATTGATACAATAATAATAAACTTTTGTTATGAATGGGGCTGTGTTGCCCGCTTTTTAAAATGCAGCCCCAATGCCAATTTAATTTGCCTCATCACGAATGGGCTCCGTTCACACCACCATGTTGCAGTGTTATAAAAGTACTGTACCCACTACTTTTCTTCAACACAGCGGGCCATGATGTGCTACAACCATACATAGGAGTTAATTAAATGTCACTCGGGACATTGTGTTTAGAGATAAGCCACTTTAAGATGGTGGTCATTGAAATGGTTATGTTTAATACACTAAATGTTGTTAATAGAAAAACCTGGGCATTTTATCAGCACAGTGCCACGTTCTATGTTAAGACATACCTGTAATAGAAGTGGCTGTATAGTAACCTTTACGGCAGGCCATTTTTTTATATTCTACCTCCTTTGTTTCTCAAGTATTCAGCTAGTCAGATGGGTTGAATACCTGTTTTCCCCGTGGCTTGCAATGGTTGCTACCACCGGCTTGTATGTTCTATAGTGAAGCCTGAGCCAGTGGGAAAGCCATTGCGTGTGATGAAGGAATTTGACTCCTCTAGCTAGCTGAATAGTTGCATTGCTTGCCAAAATGGCTGTAAGTTTCCTTATGTTCCCTCAAACCTAGATCAGGTAGATCACATGGTTAGGGTTACCAGGAACATTGTAGGTGTTTCCCATGCAGAGTCTCCAGTTTCCAGTCATACAGATGCTCTCTGGTAGACAAGAGGATCAGCAGGAAACAATACTGTGCAGCACTACTAAACAGGAAGCAGGGTCAACATACACTATATTAACAAAAGTATTGGGATGCCTGCCTTTACACGCACATGAACTTTAATGGCATCCCAGTCTTAGTCCGTAGGGTTCAATATTGAGTTGGCCCACCCTTTGCATCTATAACAGCTCCAACTCTTCTGGGAAGGCGTCCACAAGGTTTGGGGGTGTGTCTATGGGAATGTTTGACCATTTACTGATGTTGGACGAGAAAGCTTGGCTCGCAGCCTCCGCTATAATTCATCTCAAAGGTGTTCAATCGGGTTGAGGTCAGGACTCTGTGAAGGCCAGTCAAGTTCCCCCACCCCAAACTTGCTCATCCATGTCTTTTATGGACCTGCACTGGTGCGTAGTCATGTTGGAACAGGAAGGGGTCATCCCCAAACTGTTCCCACAAAGTTGGGAGCCTGAAATTGTCCAAAATGTCTTGGTATGCTGATGCCTTAAGAGTTCCCTTCACTGGAACTAAGGGGCCAAGCCCAACCCCACACCATAATCCCCCCTCCACCAAACTTTAGACTTGGCACAATGCAGGCAGGCATGTACCGTTCTCCTGGCAACCGCCTAACGCAGACACGTCCATCAGATTGCCAGACAGAGAACCGTGATTTGTCACTCCAGAGAACACATCTCCACTTCTCTAGAGTCCAGTGGCGGCGTGCTTTACACCACTGTATCCAATGCTTTGCATTGCACTTGGTGATGTAAGGCTTGGATGCAGCTGCTCGGCCATGGAAACCCATTCCATGAAGCTCTCTACGCACTGTTGTGCCAATCTGAAGACCACACAAAGTTTGGAGGTCTGTAGCTATTGACTCTGCAGACAGTTGGCGACCTCTGCACACTGTGCGCTTCAGCATGCGCTGACCCCGCTCTGTCATTTTACGTGGCCTACCAGTTCGTGGCTGAGTTGCTGTTGTTCCCAGTTGCTTCCACTTTGTTATAATACCATTAACAGTTGACCGTGGAATATTTAGTAGCAAGGAAATTTCACAGAACGCCTGAATCCAATGATTTGGAGGGGTGTCCTAATACTTTTGGTAATATAGTGTATGTAATTTCTAACTATGGCTGTACCACGCAAATACTGCATATAACTACAAACTATACATAGAAACAAGTGTTTGATAAATTAACATATGATAAAATTATATAAATGAGCTGATCTCTTTCACATGTATTTCTAACTACAGTTCCTCTGTAAGATGAAGCTGACATTTCATTTACATAATATAATGAATGTGTTTTAAGATTTTTGTAATACAGAGGATTTTTTGAGTGATTTGATAATTAGTATGTCTTTACAGCTACTTGTCACGTTTGAAAGTGTTTCATTCACTGACAGAGGTTTGAACTTCTATCATATATATATATATTAAAGCAATGAATTACTGCATTGAGGTCAAGAAATGTGCTGTATACAATGACTAATCATACATTTGTTGCTTTTTTTTTCTCCCTATAGGAGTCAAGATGTCAGTCAGCATACATGAGAACCGTAAATCCAGAGCCAGTACTGGCTCTATGAACATCTATCTGTTTCACAAGTCTTCATATGCTGACAATGTACTTACTCATCTCAATCTGTTGCGACAGCAATGCCTCTTCACCGATGTCCTCTTGCTGGCGGGAAACAGGTCTTTCCCTTGCCATCGAGCTGTCCTGGCTGCTTGCAGCCGTTATTTTGAAGCCATGTTCAGTGGTGGTCTTAAAGAAAGCCAAGCCAATGAGGTAAACTTCCACAATGCTGTCCACCCAGAAGTCCTAGAGCTTCTATTGGATTATGCATACTCTTCCAGAGTCATCATCAATGAAGAAAATGCTGAATCTCTTCTGGAAGCAGGAGATATGTTGGAGTTTGAGGACATCAGAGATGCTTGTGCAGATTTCTTGGAGAAAAACCTTTATCCCACCAACTGCTTAGGCATGCTTCTCCTCTCCGATGCTCACCAGTGCACTAAGCTTTATGAACTGTCTTGGAGAATGTGCCTTACCAACTTTCAAACCATCTGCAAAACCGAAGACTTTCTCCAACTGCCCAAAGAACTGGTGGTACAGCTCTTATGCCATGAAGAACTGGAAACTGAAGACGAAAGGATGGTGTATGAATCTGCAATGAACTGGATTAACTATGATCTGAATAAGCGACACTGTTACCTTCCCGAGCTACTTCAAACTGTACGATTGGCTCTTCTGCCAGCCATATATCTAATGGAAAATGTAGCAATGGAAGAGCTTATCATTAAGCAGAAAAAAAGCAAAGAACTGGTAGAAGAAGCCATTCGGTGTAAATTAAAAATATTACAAAATGATGGCGTGGTGACCAGTATGTGTGCTAAGCCTCGTAAAACTGGTCATGCTCTGTTTCTTCTGGGAGGACAGACTTTTATGTGTGATAAATTATACCTCGTTGACCAGAAGGCAAAGGAGATCATACCTAAGGCAGATATCCCAAGCCCACGCAAAGAATTCAGTGCATGTGCAATCGGTTGCAAAGTGTACATCACTGGAGGCAGGGGTTCTGAAAACGGTGTCTCCAAAGATGTTTGGGTTTATGACACTCTTCATGAGGAGTGGTCAAAGGCCGCTCCAATGCTTGTTGCACGGTTTGGCCATGGCTCTGCTGAACTGAAACACAGTTTGTATGTAGTAGGGGGACACACTGCAGCCACAGGCTGTCTTCCCGCCTCTCCATCTGTGTCCCTAAAACAAGTGGAGCAGTATGACCCAGCAACCAACAAGTGGACAATGGTCGCTCCTCTTCGAGAAGGTGTCAGCAATGCAGCTGTGGTCAGTGCAAAGCTGAAGTTGTTTGCATTTGGTGGGACCAGTGTTAGCCATGACAAGTTGCCCAAGGTCCAGTGCTATGATCCTTCTGAAAACAGATGGACTGTACCAGCTACTTGCCCACAGCCCTGGCGCTACACGGCAGCAGCTGTTTTGGGAACCCAAATCTTCATCATGGGGGGAGATACAGAGTTCTCAGCCTGTTCAGCCTATAAATTCAACAGCGAAACGTATCAGTGGACTAAAGCTGGAGATGTTACGGCCAAGAGAATGAGCTGTCATGCTGTAGCATCTGGCAATAAACTGTTTGTGGTTGGAGGCTATTTTGGAATTCAGAGGTGCAAAACATTGGACTGTTATGATCCAACACTTGATGCGTGGAATAGCATAACTACAGTACCTTATTCTCTTATCCCAACGGCATTTGTCAGCACGTGGAAACATCTGCCGTCCTAAAGCACTGCACACTGGCATGGTAAGTTTCAGTTTAGGAATGTGTCCTTATGCCAGCGAGTATAGTTTATGCTGAAATTTGCTTCATTGTGTGTAGAGAAGAACCCATCCCAGCCTGTAGGTTACTTTAACTTTCACATCACAGTCTAGAATTCAATATTGCAACTGATCTTGTTATTTGCTGTACATACAATCTGGTAAGATGCAGATAAATATGTTTTAAATACTAAATGTGTGTCCTGATTCCAAACTTTTAGGATTGCATGTGACTTCATCATAAAACACCTTCATGTAACATGAAGCAGGAGGAGGCTAGACAGGAGAGAACTAACAGCGAATACAGAAGTACTTTACCTTATAACCTCTCATGAAATACCTGTACTGGCAACTTCTTTCAGTAGGTGCTAACTCCCTGTTATGTTGATCCCTCAGATGTGATCTTGAACAGTTATAACCAGTGAAGTTCAAACTCCTTGCTGATGAGTGCAAAGTCGAACCAACCACAAAACAATCTAGGCAGGAACGTAGGGCCCGGTGCATATCCTGGGGGACCAGCTACCACTTTTTTGCATTTGCAGATAACCAAGTAGATGACACAATTGGTCAAAGCTGTGTACCTGGCTGTCCCTTTTATAAGGGAGGCATTTAGTGTTTACTACCTCATCGAAGGACCCATTTTGCATTTAAAGCTTTGGGCACAAAAACGTTCATTTAAATATATTCATCAATAGCCAAAAAGACTATAACTCCAATTTCTGTGCTCCAAATGCCTTTACAAACCTAGCCATTACCGTAAAAAAGTAGCAGTGACATCATGACTGTGCTTCATGTAACCTGAGCAGAGCTGTGAGAGGGGCTCAGCAGGTCCACCCAGTACAGCCTGCCTACAGAAAGGGGCGGAGACAAGACCAGTCGCTCTGCACAGAGAGAGCAGCAGTGACTGGTCTTTGTTATAAGAAGTACCTGCAGGGAAGTAAAGTGTCACACTTTTTTCCCCTCTTCTTTGTATCTCTGTAGGTTGGACTCGATGGACGTGTGCCTTTATTCAACCTGACTAACTATGTAACTGGATTACTGCACAGATCTGGAAGAAATACACAATGCACATCAAAAATCCAAGCAAGAATACACAAGCCATTTGCATTTAGACAATATTTCCTTATCCTGGACCAAGTATTTTAAATGCTTACTGGCAGTGTTTTTTTTTAACTTGCTAGAAAATCTGACTACACCATTGTAGTCGTCTCCTCTTCTTGGAGTGTCTGTTACACTCTGTACTGGCCCAGCTCTTGCACCCCTCCCTTCACCTACCTGCATAACCTTTATGTAGCAACCAGAAATGAGCAAAGGGGAATACTATAGCGTGTCACTTGAGTGACAGCTCTGAGTCTGCTGGTGCTGCTGATTTCACATCCAAGATGGCAGTGCTCAGCAAAAGTCTCAGGGCTTTTGGATGTCTACATAAGGGAGACATTTACAAAGTAATACCAGTTATGGAATAGCTTAAATGCACAAATGGGAAGATTTTTGTTGAAATTTATGGTCTCTTTAAATGTACCTCAAACACTTGGACTGGATGACTCTCTTAGGCAGTTGGTGCCATATTTTGTTTGTAGTGAAACAAATACTGACATCTATTTAGACCATGTTAACCTGCAGAACAAGTGAGCACTACCCACATTCTTTTACAAAGGGTTTGTACTGGGAACACTTATACAGTACATACTTCTATTTCCATGTCATGTGTGCTCTGTCTCCTGCTCAGGGCTGCTTATAACAATAAAATAGGTTGTAAGAGTCGAACCATTGGTCTTTTTGTAAACTTCAGATAATATTTTTTTTCCTTGTGATGCTACCAGAGAAAAATCACATACCTCATCTCTTTTTTTCAGAGCCCTTAAGCCTCACATTAAAGGAGAACTATGATTTGCCCTTAAGCCTCATTTATATGGGTGGTGGATTGTTCTCAGAGGGCGGTAGAGCAGCAGCTTCCAGACGTTCAGTAGGTGCTCCTGAACGCACCTCATCTCTTTTTTTCAGAGCCCTTAAGCCTCACATTAAAGGAGAACTATGATTTGCCATTAAGCCTCATTTACATGGGTGGTGGATTGTTCTCAGAGGGCGGTAGAGCAGCAGCTTCCAGACGTTCAGTAGGTGCTCCTGAACGCCATTTCGTTTTTTTCTTTTTATCCCAATTTTTGTATATCCCACTGGGGATTTTGAATTGCAATACTTGCCCATGCAGTTGCGGTCTGGTCCCATTGATTGCAATGGTGTGTTTGGTAAGCGGCACCGCAAGCCGACCTGTGACCATGAGACTGTCACAGGTCGGCTCAGTAGACCGGGTTCCCTCACCTCTCGATCCTGTCACGGCCCTCTGCAGTGACGGGGGGAGGGGCTGGATTCCCCTCTCCCCGCTCCGATCTGCCAGCGCTGACTGGCGGAACGGACGGGGGAGGGGGCGGGTACAGCTGGCTCTGCCTCTAGATAGGCAGAGCCAGCTGTCACTCACGCAGCTGGGCGGATCCCGTCATCTAAGTCGGGATCCGCTCCAGGTGCGGCGTCTCAGTATACCGCGAGCTGTAGCTCGCGGTATACTGAGCTTAGGGTAACGGGAGGACGCTAGTTCGTGTCCTCCCGTTACCCCAAGGAGAACTATGGGGAAAAACACTGACCCCATAGTTCTCCTTTTAAAGGCTGCCATATACATTCCAGTGATCAGAAAGGCTTTCCAGCATGTTTCATTCCTGCTCCCATAGACAAATCTCAGTATCTGCTGAGGATCCTTAGACAATATGAAATATGGGGTTCTAGGAGAACCAACTATGGTATCATACAATGTTTTTTCATTCAAGAAAACATTTTCAGAGAACATATGGAGGCAGCCATTGCTGTCTTCCTAAAAATGCAAGATGACTGGCTATTATGCTGACCTAGGGGCTTCAATATTTTACCAGTCACTCACTTAGAACCAGTATGCAAATCAGCAAAATTCAGAGTGAGGTCAGAAATTCTTCTTTGTTCCGGGCCATTGCCTGTAAGTTTTGAAGCAGGGGGAATAACGTCAAGACTAGGCAACTAGCATTTCCAGCACATGAGGTCAGCAGTCAGTTTCCTTGTTTCTGTTGCAACAGGTTTCCTTTAAGACAAATGAAAGACAAACTAACAGAAGCTCAGAGGGAGAACAAGCTCGCCTCAAATTAGTTTCACATTGCAGGGCTCTCCTCACCATACTTCAGTGTCCCTAACTGAGGAGAAGTTACACAGTGACGCAACCCGTCCTTTATGCTCTGTTGTTTCACCAAATAGCCCTTTATCACAAATATGCTAAGCGTTTCAACCAGCCACACATTTCCGATCCCTTGTAGATAGTGTCAACAAAAGGAGAGACATCTCAATCTCTTGGCATCGATAGTGGTTATCTGGTGTCCCTTGTGTTCTGGATAACTCTTCTGTTACTCATTTCCCTGGCACATGACTGCCCTCTGCACAGCGGAATGTGCGCGGCTGTGCTGGGAAACTATGTTTGCTCTGGTTTCACCTCTAGGGACAGGTGTGGTCTCATGCTTGTGCAGTTAGTATGTGGTCCAGGAATGCCGACCTGTAGTGCCAGTTGAGTCACTGCTAAGCATCTGCTCTCTGTAACTGTATGAAGAGCAGGTAACGTCATTAATGCTACTTGATAGTTCTGTCTAGTAATCTAGAGGGTTTGGGATGCGGTTACTGCATCTAGAGCACATGATCTGTAGATTATGCAGCCAGGAGTGTAAATGATTATACAATAACTTCCTCTGTCCTTATCTAACTTCTACTTTTAGCTGCCTAAATAATCCAAACACTCGATTTAACGGTGTGCAAGGCTTGTTCACATAGGCATTAAAAACAGGCGGTTAATTCCCATTTTTGGCGCCCACCCAAAATAGTGATTGCCGAGGCTTGTACACATGATGCAGCATATACTAAACAGCATGTCGCCTTTGGCATGCGGTGCCGCTTACCAAACACACCATTGCAATCAATGGGACCAGACCGCAACTGCATGGGCAAGTATTGCAATTCAAAATCCCCAGTGGGATATACAAAAATTGGGATAAAAAGAAAAAAACGAAATGGCGTTCAGGAGCACCTACTGAACGTCTGGAAGCTGCTGCTCTACCGCCCTCTGAGAACAATCCACCACCCATGTAAATGAGGCTTAAGGGCAAATCTGTCAAACATATTCTGACCCCTTGGTTGTAGAAGCAAATTGTAGACTCTTCCATTGTCATAGGGAGATGTAATGATCCCTATCCAGCATCCTGGCACTTTTGAATTCGCCACAGAAGTCTCAGGTCCAGAGCCCCATATCACCATAATCAGTCCATACAGCAACAGATCTTACATCTTAACTAAAATAATATTTTCTAAATCTGGTGGCTAAATACCAGGAGACAAGGGAAACAGGCGGGTGTCTGTTCCATGTGTTGGTAGATTTAGTTGCCATATAAACCTAACTCAGCAGTATTGTATGCTGCTTATTTATAGAAGTTGTTTTTACCCACATACAATGGGCGGATTTTGGCAGATAACTAAGTATGAAGGCAGTAAATTAATTGGGTAATTATTGTATAGATAGCCACTAGTAATGTTACCATTACCTATCATGTCACGCAGCTAGGTCCGAAGTAACTTTTGCTTTCTTTGACTGTGGCTGATCCATTCTGAATCACAGCGGAGAAATGTACATCTTTCCAGGGCTGTGCACTGCACACTTCCAGGCATGTGCTGGCAGGGAAATGTCAGAGCTGGCAGATTGCAATCATGGAGCCAGACACTAGAAGTTTTCCAGAATGTCGATTGGCAGGGCCTGTGACATTTTCGTTCAGAACTGTGAACGATGTGGGTTATATAAGGAGAAAGGGAGGGGACAGCTAGGCACTCTTGTTCAGACAATTCTACATTTCTGCCCAAATATATCAAGCATGGGAAGTCACACCCTAGAAGTAAGACATTAACACACTATATGCTTTATTGTGTGCCAAAGTGCTGAGTAAAGGAAATGAGAAAGAGAGTACACACAAAATAGTGGAACACCTAATTATGGTTTTCGGCTTCTTCAACCTGAACCGTTATATACTATATACAACTATCTTTCTGTGTGTGTGTGTGTATATATGTATGTATGTATGTATGTATGTATGTATATATATATATATATATATATATATATCACACACACATCTGTATCATTATTAAATGCTTCAAGTTTTCTCAGACATGTGGATGGAACCCATCAAAAGTCAACCCTATTGGGTAGCATGCATATATGGTGGTGCCAGAGGACTTTGTGACAACTGTATAGTACATGCTGTTCATTTACTATCTCTTGCGAGCAAATCCCTGATCAGACCCTGAATAACCATTAGTGAGATATGTTTTTCAAAATACTACATTTTACTTAAATGATATGTAATAATCACATGAATATTCCAAGAAAAAGACATGTGATGATCATGGTCTAATCCAACCAGGTCTGTTTGCTGGTCGGCACTCTCAAATCCTAGCAAATAATCCTGGGCGATTGTTCATGAAGACTATTGTTTGTGGCCAATTACAATAAGACCATGGCTGGGGGTTGTCTGCTGAGCACATCGACATGCATGCTCTTGCAAAGATTCCTGGTTGGGTTCCATGTACACACCATCTTTACATTAGCACCCTTGCAGGTTTTTTTCTTTTTTATCAGTCTGTAGTTTTTCTTTCCTTGTCCCAATGCTGTAATGACACAATTATTATATGACCTTTTGTATTTATTGTTCCTTGAATGTGTCAGACATCTGGCAGATATACAGCCTCCCAATAGCCATGCCTAGCAGCCGAGCTTGCTGGTATATTGGCAGCTTTAGATGAACAAGTCTAATGGAATATAGTGTAATATAAAATCTGGGCAATGGCAGATGGCTAATCTCATTTAGTATCTTCTAATACAATTATGTCTTCATGATGTGGGATCAATGTAATGTATATAGTGGAATCAAGCATCTGCTTTATTGCTGAAGACTAAGATAACAGTTGTATTCTTTTTGTTTTCTGTGCAGGACCTCAGCTGTGAAGATTTAAGCCAGCTTTTACGTGAAGATGACTTAAAAGACTTGCTCTACACTAAAGATGTTTGGCTTGCCACTTGTACAGAACCATTTTGCAGCTGGGACTCTCTGGCTGCAGAAGGGTTATTGTCTTTCGGGACAAAGAGGATAGAAATCTCATTCTACAACTATCAGTATTAACCCGATTACTCACCAGAAGCTGAGCACCAACCTTTTTCTGGTTTTGCATTTGAGAACACTGAGACAATTTAATAAGACGGACATAGCTGGAATCCACCTGGACTGGAGAGTTTATCATTGCAATCCAAAGCGGCTGGAAATGTCAGCACCAGCTGCGGGGGGAAAGCCAGGAACTCCACGGAGGAAAGACGTCATGTCTTATAGAATTCTAACAGCCAGTCGCTTAACATTAGACCGCACAATGGGCAGTGCCATCGGCATATTCTAATCTCTCAGTTTAATGCATTCTCCATGTTAAACATTGTGAAAGCCACAGCTGTAATTTAGCCAGAAGTAAAAAAAACTGTGAACAAACATTGGATGTCTTACTATCCACAATGCATCGCCATTTCAACTGCCTATTTATATATGACTTTCTTATTACATTCCCAGTTGTGTCTATTTATTGTCCTGTGCTGTGTGCATGCTGATACAATGCTTGTAGTTGTATTGACATGTGAAAGGCCCGGCTGAATGTATATTTAGAGCTTGCAACAATTTCTTCTTCAAAACAGTGTATTTAGCTACCTGCTTGCAGCATTGCAAACTGTCTTTTGTGATTAACCCTTTCACTGTGATGTAGATGTCTGTGACTGTGAAATGCTCTCTAAGTAGAAGACTGTACTCATCATGAAAAGACATTTTCTGGCCTTTTGGTAGCGTGGTGTGACAACAAATACAACTTGATATCTATGGGGCAAGAAGATGACATTATTTAGATACACATCTTCTGGTACATATTAGACCCAATGGTTTTACCACATGAAAGTGTGAGTATGTATAGTCCAAAGTCTTTTTTTAAAATTTTGGATAGAGTAAGGAAGTGATAACAGCTCTACTGGGTTCAATGTTGCTATCTGTGTCCCACTGGGGGGTTTCCCTTGCTTCCGGTCTTGGAGACCTAACAGGAAATCAGAGGAAATCTCCCCAAAGTGAGAAGAATTCCCATCTTTGACGGCCATCACCAAAACCTTTGTCCCACTTGGATGATTTACTTTCAGTCTCCGTGACAGTGGTCACCAGGACAAATAGGTGAATCACCTGAGCTGGGACACAAATGGCAATTGATTTTTAGGCAGATGATCTAACCCATTCCCAATCTATCTAAAACTAAAGAAAAAGTTTCGCCCTTACACACACTTTATGGACTTAATGTGATAGAGGTGGAACACCTTCATAAGCCTTGAGGTTAATTTTTTATGTATTATAGCAGCATTTGTGCAGTACAGCTTAAGTGTTAGTGTATTACCTGCTCTATCAAGTGAACGGCCTCTAAACCATATTTCACTGTGCTCAGTTATTAACACAGCCATGAATGTGTTTCATTCTTAATAGAACCCTTTTAATACTAGTGGTTAAACCACCCATGGAACATGTAGTAGAGAAAACATGAACCCTAGCTTATTGTTGCAGACCCGTAAAACCTATTTTAGGTTGCCCCTCTTGTCTTATATAATAGAAATATTCTGAGAAGCGACACGATCCGTGTGGAGTGATTTTTTTTCCAGTGTTTGGTTTCTGTAATTGAAGTATGCGATGCCTAGCTGGGCCTCTCGCTCACAGCAATATTCATTGTGACTATTCACAATCAGCCTTCTAGATCCCTAACAGGCCGTGTGTCACAGCTGCTGCCTCTGATTCTTGCTCTCCAGGCACAAACACTGCTGGGCTCTGTGATGAAGGAGTCATGACAATGATTATTAGTAGGGATTAGGTGACGAGAGCGGGCTCCATACAAATGCATTGTAGATAGCCTTTAGTTGAAGTTATTAAAGGCAAGACGACAGGAACCAGTACATGTATTATTATGAATGTGGACATACCCGAAAAGTTCACTTTATTTGTAATGAAGCGTACCCATGGAGAACAAATTCTTACTAAGGGAGTTGTACGAATGTCACCTAAAGAGACAAAAAATATGTGTCTGGAGTGATAATATAAGAAACAGCCCAACGTTTGTTTAGAGGATGGGAAATTGCATTTATTTTCATGGTGCGGTCAGTTTAAAGTGTATCTCTAGCCAAAACCTTCATTTTGGACAGAGTAGGTGAGGCTTAGAAGCCCTGATTTTTCTTTTTGTTTACTGACTGAGTTAGGAGATTTCCCTTCAATGCCTGTGCATGAAACAAAACAGGAAGTGAGAGGAAATATCTCCAAACTCAGGGACAGTTAGACAGGATATACACATTTCTATTTTTGGTAGAACTAAAAAAAAAATAGGAAAGATTCCTCCATCAATGCATTTCCTCCAAAGAAACTTTGATGGACAAACCCCCTGCTGTTTGCATTGCATTCTGACAATGGCCACCAGCCTCTGTCAGAATAGCCAAACGGAGCAATCAGCTGAATGGCTCCAAGATCCGTTCAACCGAGAATTTTCAAACCGGAAGCTGATCGAGAGAGGCCGGGCAGCGGCACCCATTGTGCGAATTTTGGCTGGTTCATCAGGAACCGGCTGAAATTCGTCCCGTGTATACCCTACTTTAGTTGTCACCAGAACAGGAGCCCCCAATGGAAGAGTTCCACTCTGTTCCTGATCCATCGACAATGAACATTTTGGATTTCCAATGTTTTCTGTGAATGGACACAAGGACAAATAGTGAGGGTGAATCTCAGAAAGATACCACAATAAAAACCTGTCAGAGGTTCTCACCACTTTAACTAAAGCTAGAAAAAAAAAACAACATACAGCTTTGCCTATAGATATCCTTTAACAGTTTGCCCATACAAATGCAGTATAATTCAACAATTGACCTGAATAATTTTGGCACCACCTGGCTCAACGAAAGTTCATTTTTCAATCCACTTTTGTTGAAGGAGCCAGTTAGGAAATTGTTGCTTGAACTGCAGCCAATGAGATGCAGTGACTGTTCGATGGAGTATTCAGCAGCCACGGGTCCTGTTGGCTGCTGAATACAATAACCGGCAGGGGAGATTCCTTCCTTCATTCACACTGTTAAGATGGATGGTGGAATTGACTGATTGCCCAGCAGGCTGAACGAGAGAAATCTGAAGGCGTGTGACCAGCTTTAGTGCATTCATACAAATGTTCCTGTTTCTTCCGGCTTAATAATTCTAGTATCTGTACTGCGAAAACTATTTTGTATCACACAAAGAAAAGCACATTTCGCCACCTTAGTATTTGTATCCTGCTGCTGTATGCCCTTCCCCGAGCTCCAGACTGGTTCGTACAGAAATGTCAGTTGCCTCCCATAAACTCAAGTTGCAATGCTGCAAAGGTAAAAATACATCTGTAAGGGAATCAGTGTAAAGGTCAAGATGAGCAGCAAAGAGAGCAATCGGCCTCTTCAATGGGAGCTGCCTGTGTAATCAGACCTGCTCTTTATTTACACATGGGGTAAAATAAGAAGCCGGGCAGGTCACTTTCTCAGGCCCACCCGCTCAGCAGGCCCTGCACCATTGGACTCTCTTCTCTTTATAACTGTTTGCACATAGTGTCCCATGTCCAGTGTTAACCTGTTCTCACCTGGAAGTTAACAAACAACCACGTCTTTGGTTCTTTTTTGCAGCTTGTTCTGTACTTGGTGTTGTCTTTTTGTAAAACTAATGTACAATGTCTGCTTGTTGAATCGGTAATGGCATCATCCAAAACTATTTATTTATTTATGGTAACCTTGCAGGTTTTGCCAAAGCCATTTGTTTTGTACGTCAATGACAAACAAACCTTTTTATTTTTCCTACTTGTTTCTCTTGTCTTTGTTGCGTTTCTCTTTTTCTCAAGTGAATTTGTGGTAAGAAAATAAAGTTGCACTGTTTGAATTTTCGCCATGCTCTTAAGTCTCTGTGCTTTTTAGTTTAAGGTTCCATAGCTTTTATGTCTTGATCTATACTGTTCTTATGGATGGGTTCATGAGTGCCAGGGATTTACACTGAAATGGATCCAATTTGACTTCAAAGGCTCGTCTCTTTATTATTATAACCTTATCGGGGAAGAGTGGTAACAGAAACTCCATGGGAAAAGATTCATATCTAAGGAAATTCACTTCTTTTTATCATTTAAGATTAGACAGATCTGTTCATTCTAAAAACATATGGGCTCAATAGGAGTCATCTCCATCAATATATTGTGACCTAGTTGTCCAGAAATCTGTCCTCAAGGGACATAAAATTAAACAGATCCTGGAAAGAATTTTCAGATCCTTCAAGAGTTTGATGTTGAAAGGCCAAATGTACCTTTTCCGCATTCTGTGCCCATAACGTATATCCCATGATGCCTTTTTATTTTCTTTATTATTACCGTACTAATTACCTTACTTTTCCCTTTGATACTTCATTTTTTTCTGTTCTTATTGATTACTCCTTTTATGTTTTCAAATGCCACCTGTTGCTATATGTACAGGGAAGGAAAACAGCCTCAAAAATATTCTTCTGCAACTATTTATAATAAAACTCGTATCAAATGGATTCAGGGTGGCAGAGCCTTCACGTGTTTCATACCTGACCCGACCACTTAAAGCTGAAGTCCAGACACATATAAAAGATACCACTTAATCCAGCTTTGTATCCATCAAGAATCTACATAATTACATTTGTTTTTGAATGCAAGTAGACTATTGCAATCCTCTATGCAAAAGAACACAAAAACATTTACATTTTAGGAATACAGAGGAGGCAGTCAATACTGATTTAGTAACTGTAAGTAAACCGGTCAAAAGAAATGTGCAGCAGCCATTATTGACCAACTTTGAAAAATGCTAGTTTTCCCGGCCATTATGCAAGCCCTTTGGCTTCGGTTCTATCTGATTTACTGGCCTGGAACACCCTTTAGGGCTTGTTCACACCATGTCCGGACCAGAACAGTTTTTGTCCGCACCTGAAATGCATCCCAAGGTATTCCTATGGTATTTCTGGGCTCTGTTCACATCAGTGCAGTTCGTTCCAGTGACGGGGGAAAAAACCGCTGCAGGCACTATTTTTTTCTGGAATGCATGTAAACGCACAGGAGTGCACCTGAAAGCCCATTTTAAGCTAAAGAAAAAAGCACCGGTACGTGCTAAAATGCACTGCGTTTGCAGATATGCTCCATATCTGGTCCAGACATGGTGTGAATATAGCCTCAGCCACCAGGGGGTGGGCAATTAATTTTCTCAAGGGGCCATAAGAGAAACTAAGACTGTTGTGGAGGATTGAACCAATAAGCTGAACTCGATATTCATTTTATTGCTTTATAAAAAAAGCAGTAATTTAAATGGTTTTGATAATGTCTCTATGAGAATACCCTCTTACATTGTTGGTCCCCTTTGAAGTGCCCCTTTAGATTACTGTCCCCATATACCTTAGTTTACTACTTTATTAGTAGGCTGGGAGGAGGAGCAGGCTGCAGGAGAGGATGGAAGAAGATACTTTTGGGTGCAGGGAACACATTTGACATCAATGGATGCAAGGACCGCCGCCCTAGCCATAACTGCAGCCATTTTGTTCGTTTGGATAGCTTAACGGAGCGTTATAACCCGTCAGCTTTTTTTTACCCTCTGTGTCTCATTGGGGAGATTTAACTTCCTGTCCAATAGCAAAAACAGGAAATGAGAGGAAATCCCTCCAAAGTTAGGTGGTCGGCAGAGTCATCAGAACTAGTGCCCCATTGAAGGATACCTTATTC